CTACTGGCGGTGGCCAGATGCAGCTCCAGCGACGTCAAGGTGAGTCCCTCACGCCCTAGAAGCTTCGTGAGTGGTACGCTAGTTGGGGTTGTAGGGGTGGCCGCGCTGCTACTGCTGCTAGTGCTGCAACTACTGTTACTGCTGCTACTGGCGGTGGCCAGATGCAGCTCCAGCGACGTCCGCGCGAGTCTCTCACGCCCCAGCAGCTTCGTGAGTGGTACGCTCAGAGTAGAGGGTCTCTGAGTACCGTTCGCTGCCTGTACGTCATTCGCACAGGTGATCGGACTGGTCAGGCTTGCGGGACGCTTAGTCACACAAATTCCCGCTGCTTCGCCCGTCTGAGCGACGCCTGGCGTTCCGAGTTTGGCGACGAGGCTGAGCTCCCCACCTGGCTGAAGCTGCTTGGACAAGGGGTAGATATCTTTGCTCTTGACTATGATGCTATTCTCACTGCCATGTATGCATTGCCTACTGGTGCTGACCGTGCCTGTTACCTCTGCGTACCGCCTGACCCAGGTATAGAGCCTGCTGCTCTAGGTGCTGGTGAGGCTACAGCTCTAGGGGCTAGTGTGTCTCCTGCTCTAGGTACTGGTGAGGCTGCTGCTCTAGGTGCTGGTGAGTCTGCTCTCTCTAGTACTGCGCCTGCTGAGGCCTTGTACACCTTCACACTTGACTCCGGTGCTTCTCCCTCCTTTCGCGACAGCACCACCCTCACGTCGCTCAGTCGGCCGTTTGCAGTCTCCCTGGCAGACCCCTCTGGGGGTCCAGTCCGTGCGACCTCCACCACTGTCCTCCCTTGTCCTGCTGTCCCGTCCGGCACAATGTCGGGTCTTTACCTCCCCTCGTTCTCTACGAACTTGGTGGAGGGTTCTGCGCTCCAGGATGCGGGTGTTCACCAATTCACCCCTGCCTACGAGCGTGTGACACACTGCACGTGTGCTCAGACGGGTCGTCATCTGGCTACCTTCACTCGGTAGCCGGGGTCGGGCCTGTACACACTGACCACTGAGTCCCCCCAGGTAGCTGCATCTGCGTCTGCGTCAGGTCAGTTGTCGGCCCCCTGCTCGTGTCGCGCCTTGTCCCACCAGACCCTCCTTTGGCACCACCGCCTTGGTCACCCCTCGGTGCAGCGCCTTCGCAGCATGCACCGCCGTGTCCTTGTCTCTGGTCTTCCCAGGGTTCTCCCTCCCCTCCCACCCTCGCCTGCTCCTCCCTGTCTTCCCTGTGTCGAGGGGCGGAAGCGCGCCGCTCCTCACTCCTCCTCGTTCCCTCCCACAGAGGCTCCCCTGCAGGCTCTCCACCTGGACGTGTGGGGCCCAGCCCGCGTCCGTGGACCGGGCCACGAGCGGTACTTCCTGCTGGTCGTCGACGTCTACACGCGTTACACCACGGTCTTCCCCTTGCGCACCAAGGGTGAGGTCCCTGATGTTTTGATCCCTTAGATCCGCGCTGCTCGTCTCCGGCTCCGCGAGCGGTTCGGGACGGAGTTTCCCGTCCTACGTCTGCACTCTGACAGAGGTGGGGAGTTTTCCTCCGACCTCTTGGCAGCCTTCTGTGCGGAGCACGGCATCCGCCAGACGTTCACGCTTCCGGCCTCTTCGCAGCAGAATGGGGTTGCTGAGCGCCGCATTGGCTTAGTCATGGAGGTCGCTCGTACCTCCATGATCCATGCGGCTGCCCCCCATTTTCTGTGGCCGTTTGCCGTCCGGTACGCCGCGCATCAGCTCAACCTCTGGCCCCGTGTCTCCTTGCCAGAGACCTCGCCCACACTGCTGTGGACGGGGAAGGTTGGCGATGTGTCGCGTTTCCGGGTCTGGGGTGCTCGTGCCTTTGTCCGCGATACCACCTTGGACAAGCTCTCCACCCGCACTGTTCCCAGTGTCTTCCTTGGCTTTGTCCTTGACGCGCCTGGTCGGCAGTTTTACCACCCCACCTCGCGCCGTGTCTTACCCTCTCAGGACGTCACGTTCGACGAGTCGGTTCCCTTTTACCGTCTCTTCCCCTACCGCACTGCCCCTCTCCCCCCCCGCATCTCTTCCTCGCTCCAGGTGCTCCCCAGGTAGACCCCCTCCTCGCTCCCGGTCCTGCTCCTTCAGGTGTGTCTCAGGTAGACCCTCCTCCCTTGACTGCGCTGGTTAAGGTCACTGGTGACTCACGTCCTGCTCGGGGTACTGCATCTGGGGGTGCAGAGCCTCGGGGTGCTGAGCCTGGGGGTGCGGAGCTTGGGGGTGCGGAGCCTGGGGGTGCGGAGACTGGAGGTGCTGAGCCTGGGCGAGAAGAGTCTGGGGGTGCTGAGCCTGGGGGTGCTGAGGCTGAGGGTACTGCACCTGGGGGCGCTGAGGCGTCGGGTGAGCAGTCTCCCTGGAGCGGCCGTCTCCGTAGTCGCTCCGCTGGTGCCTCGCCGCTGCACTCTCGTCGTCGACTCCCTCTCTCCCCACAGCAGCTGCTTGAGTGGTACGTTGACCGTCAGGGTCGCGCTGCTGGAGCTAGGGGCCCTGCTGCGGGAGACGCAGGAGCTGGTGGCTCTGCTACTGGAGTTGTTTCTGCTGGAGGTTCTGGAGCTGCTGAGGGTGTTGGAGCTGGAGGTTCTGGAGCTGCTGGTGGTGCTGGAGCTGGAGGTTCTGGAGCTGATGCGGGTGCTGGCGCTGAGGGTTCTGAGTCTGCTGTTGCGCGGTCTCCTTGGAGTAGCCGCCTTCGTCTGCGTGTGCCTCTCACCCCACAGCAGCTGCACGACTGGTACGATCGCCGTCAAGGTCGCGCTTCTGGAGCTCGGGGCTCTGCTGCTGGAGGTACTTCTGCTGGCGTCACTGGAGCTGGGAGTGGTGCTGGTCTCGGAGGTGCTCGTACTGGAGGTACAGGAGCTGCTGGGCCTGGAGGTGCTGAGCCTGAGGGTGCTAATACTGGAGACCCTGGGTCTGGGGGTGCTGCTACTTAAGACACTGAGGCTGGAGACCCTGGGACTGGAGGTGCCAGTTCTGGGGGTGCTGCTGCTGGTGAAGCTGGTCCTGGAGCATGCGCCGTCCACCTGGCTTCACTGGGTCGTTCCCTCCTGGTACCCAGTGGAGCCTCCGGCGGCCAGTCCACGGTCTCCGCCAGGCGCCAGGTGAGTGGCACGACACACTGAGGACGACTCTTGCGGCTCTTGGGTTTGCCCCGTCGACTGCTGACCCCTCGCTGTTTCTGCGCACCGACACTTCCCTGCTGCCGTTCTACATCCTCGTGTACGTCGACGACTTGGTCTTTGCCACTGCTGACACTGAGGCTCTCGCCCTGGTAATGTCGGAGTTGCAGAAGAGACACACGTGCACAGACCTGGGTGAGCTGCGCAGCTACCTTGGCTTGCAGATCACCCGGGACAGAGCACGCCGCACCACCACACTGACTCAGTCACACATGGTGCAGCAGGTCCTTCAGCGCTTCGGCTTCACCTGGTCCTCGGCACAGGCCACTCCTCTTGCTACAGGTCACTCGCTCTCAGCTCCACCTTTGGACGAGTTCGTAGAGCCGAGTGGACCGTACCCAGAGCTAGTGGGCTGCGTCATGTACCTGATGACCTGCACTCGACCTGACCTTGCGTACCCTCTTGGCCTTCTGGCTCGCTACGTGGCTCCTGGTCAGCACCGAAAGGTGCACATGGATGCTGCTAAGAGGGTACTACGCTACTTGTGCAGTACATCGGGCATGGGGCTCGTGCTTGGAGGGCGGAGCCTAGTCGTCCTCACTGGGCACTCGGACGCTTCTTGGGTTGACGACCAGGCTACACAGCGGTCGTCACAGGGTTACTCCTTCAGCCTTGGCTCTGGCTCTGTTTCTTGGCGTTCTACACGCTCGTCTTCTGTTCTCAGCTCCAGTTGTGATGCTGAGATCTACGCCACAGCCATGGCTGCACAGGAGTTACGCTGGCTCACCTACCTGCTGACCGACCTGGGAGAGCGGCCTCGTTCTCCTCCAGTGCTGTACGTCGACAACAAGGCAGCTATTGCCTTGTGTTAGGAGCACAGACTGGAGCACAGAACGAAGCACATCGCTCTGCGTTACTTCCTGGCTCGAGAGTTGCAGCAGCGTGGTCAGCTTCATTTTGCTCACGTTGCCACTTGGGCCAACACTGCTGATATATTCACCAAGGCACTTCCGTCTGGTGATCATCAGCGTTTCTGCACTTTGTTAGGCCTTGTGCCCACTTTTCCTCACTTGCTGTAGACTTTGCTTGTACTGTGATCTATATATATACCTGCATGCTTGCTATGCTAGATAGAGATCACTGTGCTGTTGTTGCTGCATATATACATCTGCATGTGAATTGGCCTTGTGGCCCTTTGCTTGTGCTCAGTGTGTGTGGTGACGTTGTGATCCACCCTGAGCTTGCTTTGCTCCTCTTGACTGGTATTGTGACCCCTTGCTCTCCCCCACTTTGCCTATGGGGGTGTGTCAAATGATATATCTGCTATATATGTTTAGGCTAAAGTGGGGTAGCCAATATGGGGTACAGCCCGTTATAGGGTTTCATATTTGTACCCAACTCTTTCATAGTTCATTCATTCCTGCTGCTAGATTCTAACAGGAGCTGGGGGGAGAGGCGGAGGAGGTGGGGGGAAGGGGGAGCGGGGAAGAGGGGGGAGTGGGAGGGGGAATAAGGGGAGCGGCATTAGGGGGGAAGACGATAATTGGAGCGGAAACAGCAAGAGAGGGTGTAAGGGAGGTGGTGGAAGGTGGGGAAAGGGCAGAGAAGGTGGAGGGTGGGCAGGTGAGGATGAGGGCGAGGGATGAGGAGGGAATACTTCTGAAAGATGTAGGGGAAGAGGGGGAGGGGGAGGTGGCATGGGGGATGGAAGGGAAGGCGGTGAAGGGAGGAGAAGAAGATGGCATGGGGGAAGGGGAGGGGAAGCTGAATGGGGAGCTTAAGATGGCGGAGGGGAGAAAGGGGGAGGGCGTAAGTGGGGAAGGATGGGGACGGGGCCTCAAAGGTGAAGGAAGAAGGGAGAGGGAGGGGCGGAGAGGCGATGCCGGAGGTGTGGCGGCGGTTCCATGAGGGATTGCCCAAGGTGGTGGATGCGGAGGGGCATGAGAACATGTGGAAATTCCCCATCTGGGTCGCCCTGGCCGTCAACATGTACGTTTGTGGTGCATTAGGCATGCGCGTATGTGCTGTTGTGTCAGCATGTGCATATGTGCTGCTGTGTCAGCATGTGCATATGTGCTGCTATGTCAGCATGTGCAGATGAGCTGCTGTGTCAATGTATGTGCCTCCGTGTGATCGTGCCGACAAGAGTGTAAGCATGGCAATGCATTCACATGCGCATGTGCCATGGCCGTAACCCGTGTTAACCTGAACGCATATGTTGCTTCCACCACGCCACGTGCATGCACACATACTCAAGAGAGGTCAACGCAGTCAATGCAGACAACGCAGGCAACGCAGACAATAGTCTATTTGTGCCATCCCATCGCTCTCTTGCTACAGGAACTCGAGGTCATTGCTTAAGCACACGCTCTGTGCACACGCTCTGTGCACACGCTCTGTGCACACGCTCTGTGCACATGCTCTGTGCACATGCTCTGTGGCATGCACAGAATGGTTCCCATCCTGGAAACTCCCCACGTCTCTGATCTGCTCTATCCAGCCATGGCGTGACGATCTCTGTGCATGCCGCCTGCACAGAAAAGGCACGTTGTCTGGCTAGTCTGGCATTGGTGGGGAACGTGTCAATGTGGTCAACGCAAGTCAACCCAGAGTTCCCCCTTCTATCCCATCCGCCTCTCCCTTACAGGTTGTGCGCGCGGTACCAATGGTGGTGGAGAACGGATCCATGTACACTCCCAACAGACACCCCTCGTGGTTCAAGGTGAGGGCTCTGCACCCGAGGTATGGGATCTGCGGGCTTACCAAGCTCATCAAAGCAAGCGTGAGTTTCTAACCACCTCTAACCACCTTAGACGGGCCTTTTCTCGTTTTATGCACCACCTGCGCCCCCTGCTCTCCCTGAACTCTCCTGCATGCCCTACTGCAAGTGCCGTTCCTGCAGTCACAGCTGGCATGTTGCTGCGAGTGGGCCTTCTTCCTCGACTCAGATGCCTCCATGCGCATGCACCACCACCGCCTCTCCATCCCCACCTGGATCCAATTCATCAACCAACCTGTCACTGCCTGCTCGCTTCGCCTCAACCCTGCAAAAACCTATTCTTTGCTCTGGCATCCACTCTAAACCATCAAGCAACCTCTCAGTGATCCAAACCATCAAGCAGCCTGTCAACTCCGCCAGTGTGCCTATCAGACCTGCCAGTGTGCCCATCAGACCTACCAGTGTGCCCATCACACCTGCCAGTGTGCCCATCAGACCTGCCAGTGTGCCCATCACACCTGCCAGTGTGCCCATCACACCTGCCAGTGTGCCCATCACACCTGCCAGAGTGCCCATCAGACCTGCCAGTGTGCCCATCAGACCTGCCAGTGTGCCCATCAGACCTGCAATTGTGCCCATCAGACCTTCCAGTGTGCCCATCAGACCTGCCAGTGTGCCCATCAGACCTGCCAGTGTGCCCATCAGACCTGCTAGTGTGCCCATCAGACCTGCCAGTGTGCCCATCAGACCTGCCAGTGTGCCCATCACACCTGCCAATGTGCCCATCAGACCTACCAGTGTGCCCATCAGACCTGCCAGTGTGCCCATCAGACCTGCCAGTGTGCCCATCAGACCTGCCAGTGTGCCCGTCAGACCTGCCAGTGTGCCCGTCAGACCTGCCAGTGTTCCCATCAGACCTGCCAGTGTGCCCATCAGACCTGCCAGTGTGCCCGTCAGACCTGCCTGTGTGCCCATCAGACCTGCCAGTGTGCCCGTCAGACCTGCCAGTGTGCCCATCAGACCTGCCAGTGTGCCCTTCAGACCTGCCAGTGTGCGCGTCAGACCTGCCAGTGTGCCCATTAGACCTGCCAGTGTGCCTGTCAGACCTGCCAGTGTGCCCGTCAGGCCTGCCAGTGTGCCCATCAGACCTGCAAGTGTGCCCGTCAGACCTGCCAGTGTGCCCGTCAGACCTGCTAGTGTGCCCATCAGACCTGCCAGTGTGCCCATCAGACCTGCCAGTGTGCAGGACCCCGCCTCTGCAGCTCCCACTGCCCACTGTGCTACAGCCGGAAGGGCGTGTGCATGTTAGAAGCATGATTTATAATTGGCATTCTTGTGCCTGTACCAACCCTGTGTATCCCACTTATGTCCGACCCACTCCCTCTTCTCTGTGCCCCTTCCCCGACTGCTTTGACTGGCTGCTGAGGGACAATCTCACCAACACTCTGGAGGGGCAGGTGTGGATCCCACAGGACCCCGCGCTGCTGCTACAACCGCCCACCGCGCTACAGCCGCCCACCGCGCTACAGCCGCCCGTGGCTCTGATACCACGGAACGGCAACTCAAGAGGGGGGTTTGATGGGGATGCAGGGACGCTGTTCCGAGAGGAGACGGGGTACATCAATGCGGGTGTGATGCTCTGGCGGCGGTCGCCCGATAGCTTCAAGGTGGGGGGTGGGCCGTACAGGCGAGCGGATCAACATATGTGCGGTTTGGAGAGGAGTGGGAGGGCTGGGTAAAGAAGCGGCCTTGGGTTATAGGTGAGGTTGAGACGTGAGCAATACACAAGGGGCGTCAACTTTCTCTGAGGGGAAGAGAGGGGTCATATGAGGGAAGGAGTAGTGCTGTGCAGTTGTGGTAATGCTTGAGGCTACACGCTTGTGGGAGAAGTGTTGTGGGGATGCCTAGGGACGGCGTCAATCTCAGCTTCACATTCAGGTCGGTACAATGTATCCAAGTGCAGGTCATGTTTCACATGACCTTCACAAGCAGGTAATGGCATGTGAAGTGTTCGCTCCAGTTGTGTCAGTGTTTCTATCATTGCTTGCTCTTTCCCCTTCCCAATCGTCTCTCGCATGGATAATGATTCTATTGCTGGGTGTCCCCTTCCCTCCCAATGCCTGGTGTCCCCGTGCCCCTTCCTGGCGCGCACAGTTCACTTGGGAGTGGTACAACGTACCGAGGGACAACTACCACCTGCACAACCACGTGTGGGAGCAGGCCAACCTCAACACGGTGGCACGGCAGCAAGAGTGGAGGGAGAGGGTGATCGTGTTGCCGTATCGGGAGCTCACAGGGCCCCACGGCGCCATGGTGCACCATGTGTGGGGCGGAGCGGCGTGTCACGAGGTGGTGTTCCAGGCCTTGGAAGAGGCACTGGGGGGCCTGCAGTAAGGGCACCCCACATTAAGGGCACCCCGTAGTAAGGGCACCCCGCAGTAAGGGCACCCCGCAGTAAGGGCACCCCGCAGTAAGGGCACCCCGCAGTAAGGGCACCTCGCGGTAAAGGCACCTCGCGGTAAAGGCACCCTATAGTAAGGGTGATGCGTACCGTGTCCCCACGAATAGAAGCGCACCCTAATGGGTGCATGCAATTATGAACTGACAAACCAGTTTCCGAATACCGTTGAGGGGAAACTGGGTGTGTGTTTTTGTAAGCAAATGTAGATATTATTTATTGTGAACTCTTGTTGTTTGTCTTGCAAACCCAACGTCTCATTTCACGTGGCAAGTACATGATTTTTTATCGTCCGAGCATTTTACAACATAAGAACAATAAATTCCCTAATTATACCAGGGTGGGAGGGAGGGGTACTTGATTGTCAATTGTTGTAGCTTGTAGTGAGGCTTGTCTTAGGGGGTACACATATTAGGGTTTGCTATATGTACCCCAACCCACATCAATGAACACACAATTCAGGATCTGACATGGTATCACCTAGGTTAGGATTCTATAGGATCCCGTTCCTCTTGCCCGAGCCTCTCGAGCCTCACGCGCCTCACCCGTTTCGTCGTATCTCGTAGTGTTGCAGTAGCGCCCCTTTCGTACGCCCGTCCGCTGCGCGCCTGCAATCGCGCTTGCCGCAGCGCGTTCTGCCCATTCTCACACCCGTCCCGTCCCGTTCCCCGTCTCATCGCGCGCCTGCCCTAAGCGCCCGCCGCGCCTGCCCTAAGCGCCCGCCAGCGGGCCTGCCCTTAGCGCCCACCGTGCGCCTGTCCTTCGCGCCCGCCGCGTCTGCCCTTAGTGCCTGCCACGCCTGCCCTTAATGCCCGCCAGCGGGCTTGCCCTTAGCACTCGTCGCGCGCCTGCCATTAGCCCCGCCGCGTCTGCCGTTAGCGCCCACCGCGCCTGCCCGTTAGGCCCGCCATGGGCCCTCCCTTCGCGCCGCCGCGCCTGCCCATTAAACCCGCCGCTGCGCCTGCTCGTTAGGCCCGCCGCGGGCCCTGTCTTCGCGCCGCTGCGCCTGCCCATTACGCCCGCTGCCGCGCCCGCCCGTTAGGCCTGCCGTGGGCACTGCCATCACGCCGCCGCGCCTACCCGTTCGGCCCGTCACGGGCCCGCCTGTTCGCCCCTCCCACACCTGTCCGCTACGCCCGCCGCGGGCCCGCCCCTTGCGCCCGCCGTGCCTGCGTTTTGCGCTCGCCGCGGGCCTGCACTCGCTGGTCGCCGTCTCTCCCCGTCCCGCGCCTGCCCGTGCCACCTGCCGCGCCTGCCCTTAGAGCCTGCCGCGGCCCTTCCCTACCTGCCCGCCGTGCTTGCCCTTAGAGCCTGCCGCGGACCTACCCTACCTGCCCGCAGTGCCTGCCCGTGCCGCCCGCTGAGCCTGCCGTTTGAGCCCGCCGCGGGCCTGCGTTCTTGCACTTGTCGCGTCTTCCCTTTGCGCTCGTTGCAAGCCTGCCCTTAGAGCTCTCCCTTAGAGCTCGCCGCGCCGGCACTTCGCGTCCCTCTAGCGTCCGCCGCGTGCCTACTTTTGCCCGCGCGCCTCTCGCCCAACCGCTTGTCTCCTTGCCGTGCTTGTCGCCTTGCCCTCGCCTGCCATTGCACCCAGCCGGCCTTGTAGTTTCTGCTTTCGCTATGGCGACCCCTAGGGTCCTTCGCTTTGACGCCGAGGGTAGGCCCCTCGAGTTCTCTGTCTGGCTCCAGCGTGCGCAGCGTCTCCTAGAGAGTCACGTGCAGGCAAATGAGTCTATGTGAGCGCACGCATCCGGTGACCTTCCCGCGCCCCCCGATCCTGATACCCTAGGACTTGACGCTACCCCTGAGGACAGAGAGCGTGTTACGCGTCAGCGTGCTGACCTGACTGCCTAGCGATCGCGCGACGCTGCGGCCTGCATCGCCCTCAGCAGCCTCCTCCTTGAGTCTGAGGAGACCCATTTCGCACAGGTTCGCACGGCTAGTGAGTTCCTGACTACGATCAAGGCCCGCTATGCTACTCCTTCCACTGTTTCTCTTGGTCGCCTGTTCCTCCCCTTCCTGTTTCCTGACCTCGCCTCGTTTGAGCGCTCTGCTGACCTGATCGCTCACTTGCGCTCAGTCGACTCTAGCTTTCGCGCTGCCTACACAAACGCACAGCTTGCACTGCTCCCTCCTCCCATGCCGATCACCATCTATTTCATCGCCACTAGCCTCCCTTGCCGCCTTGCTTTGGTTCGTGACGCACTTCTTCTGAAGCATCCTAGTGAGCTCACTAACGGCGTCCTTGAGTCTGCTTTCAAGGACGTCGAGAGCAACCTCCGCTCGGTAGCCTCTGCCTCTGGTGCTATGCCCCCTCCACTGTTTCACGGGTGCACTGTCCCTCAGCTGCCCACCTTTACTGCCTCCCTAGCCACTGCCGCTACTGACGTGACCGCAGCTGCTATTACGACTTCTTCGCGGTCTCGGGGTAGAAGTGGCAGGAGAGGCAGTCAGGGTGCGGGCGGAGGCAGCGGAGGCGGTGGGGGTGACGTGGCGAGCGGTGGCGGCGGGAGTGCAGGGGCTGGAGGAGCGCCTCGTGCAGCGGCCGGTAACTCCCCTGCTGCACCTGGTGGAGGTGACGCCCGGATTCGTCAGCCACCTACTGGTCTGCCAGCCGCACGGGGTGGAGAAGCGGCGTGGTACCTGACTCGGCGACACCAGCAGCAGCCCCTCCCCTCGCAGCAGCCACAGCGACAGCAGCAGGTTTCGGGGCAGGGGTCAGGACAGCGTTAGCTGCAGCGTAGTGTCATCCACCCTCCCTGCACCTATCATATTCTGACAGGTGCCCGCTGCGGCCAGCCTTGTGACCGCATTTACCCACCGGGTCAGTGCTTTGCCCAGCTTACTGACACGGTTCGGTTGGCCTACGGCATTGACGGCCCTGCCCCTGACTGGTTTCCCCTTGTTCAGACGTACGGCCCAGCTCAGTAGGGCATGTCGGCTTCTCAGTTAGTTGATCTTGTAGGAACTCCTCATGCTATGTATGCTGTTGTTCACTCTACTGCTTCTGACTCTGTGTACTCGAGTGTTGTTAGCTTACCGTATTCTCCCGGATAAAACACCCTAGGGTATTATGAAAACCACTGGGAAAAAATGGGGGGGGTCTCCTCAACGGAAAATCCTACATAATACCCGTGTCTTATTATATGGTATGTTTTCTATAAAGCAGAAAAGTTGTGAAACAAAATCAGAAGTCTGACTTCACTTCAAGATTGCTGATCAGTTCCGCAAAACCGAGTATATGAGGATTCCGTGACCGCCCACTGGAATCTGCCGCATGGCAAATTCCAGTGGGCAAATCCGCCGAGGCGGGAATCGCGCACGGTGGTGCGTTGTCACTGTACCTGTCACTTCTTGACTGGTTTGATCACGACTCACGTCCCTGTGCCTCATGTCCCTTGGGCCACTTGCAGCGGAAGATTCGCCAGCGTGGCGACTGAGATTATGGGAGGGTCGGCAGGTTCGATGTGAAAGTACATGCAAAATTTCATCTAGGGACGATTCTCGCGAAATCCTCCCGTAAGGAATCAGACTCGATAGCAACTATAATATGCATCTATAAGAAAAGGGGGGTGTTATAGAAAATCACCCCAAAAGGGGGGGTATAGTACAAACGGGGTCGGATATAACACCCACCCCGTATTAGCTACCCGGGGGTGTACAATTACGGGGGGGGTGTTTTATCCGGGAGAATACGGTAGGTGCTAGTCTTGCTGAGGTGCCTATTGCTAGTGTAGGTACTTGTGTAGACACTAGTCCAGGAGCTGCTCCGGAGGACGCTTCGCTGACTTTCACTATGGACTCCGGAGCTTTGCACTGTTTCTTCCGCGACCGCACGACACTTACTCCGCTTCCTGCGTCGGACTCTGTAGCACTGGCTGATCCCACTTCGGGACCAGTCACTGCTCGCTACACTACTACGCTTCCGTGCCCGGCGGTTCCCTCTGGTGCTCTGACCGGCTTCCACGTCCCCTCGTTCTCGAGGAACTAGGTGGGCGTGAGGCCGCTCGTGAGCCAGCACGTGGGTGTGAGGATTGAGCCTTGTGGCGAGACTGCGGTTTGTGTCAACGGGGACACGTACGCACCTCTCGCCACATTTACCGCTGAGCCGGGCTCTGGTCTCTACACACTTCACACTGGCCCCCGAGAGCAGCAGCAGCAGCAGCCGCAGCAGCAGCTGCAGCAGCTACTGCCTCCGACCCCTATCACTGCCCCCCGTCAGGTTCCCGCGTCTCACCAGGTTGCCGCATCTCCCCAGATAACTGTGTCTGGTCAGGTTCCGGTGTCTGGTCTAGTTGCTGCGTTGTGCTCCTGCCCGTCACTTGCCCACCCCACCGTTCTGTGGCACCACCGGATGGGGCACCCGTCCATTTCTCGCCTGCGCACTATGTCTAGTCAGCGTCTTGTCTTAGGCCTCCCGCGAGTCTTGCCGTTGCTGCCGCCTTCGCGTGCACCACCTTGCGGTCCCTGCGTCGAGGGTCGGTTGCGCGCCACCCCTCACTCCTCCTCCCTTCGTCCGGCCACCGAGCCCTTCAAGACTCTCCACTTGGACGTCTAGGGCCCCGCCCCTCGCCCTGGCCCCGAGCGAGAGAGTTTATTTCTGGTGGTCGTTGATGACTACTCTCGCTACACCACAGTGTTTCCTCTAGCGAAGAAGTCAGGGATGACTTCTACGCTGATCCGGTGGTTACCGACCACTGCGGACACTCGTAGTCGTCGTGTCAGCTGTCTTCACTCCGACCGCGGGGGGTGCGCTCCGGCATTCTTGCTGGATTCTGTCGCGAGCACGGCATCCGTCAGTCCTGGACGCTTCCAGAGTCCCCACAGAAGAATGGGGTTGCTGAGCGCCGCATAGGCTTGGTCATGGAGATTGCACGCACCTCCATGATCCACGCCCGTGCGCCCCATTTTCTGTGGCCCTACACAGTTCGGTACGCCG